TTCACAGCATCAAAACAATGTTGTACGTATTCTATATCCAATACCATCAAATATTGTTAATCATACATTTAATGCTACAATCAAAAGTATTTTTGAATACTATATTGATGATTTGGTAACTGATGATATTGAAACATTTAAAAGTGAATTTGAACTATGAAAATACACATGGAGTAGAACAAATGAGAATGAACGGCCATCAAATATCAATGATACGTTAAAAGCGATAGAGAAAGTCAAAGATTTCTATCCTAATATTTACATACTGATGCATTTATTTGGAATTCTTCCAGTGTCTGTTGCAACAGCTGAAAGATTGTTCTCAACAATGAAATTAATTAAGAACTATCTACAAAATAGAACTGGTGATGAACGATTAAGTAACCTAGCTATATTGCATGCACATAGAAATGTAGTCATTAATTTGAATATACCAAGATACCACCCTCTGTAATCAGTTTAAGTGATATCCATCATTCTCACAAAGTCAAATTCCAATAGGTATTTACCATCATATTATTTTGTTCATTTAATATTGTTCTTCTTGTACCAATCCTTAGCACACGCCTTAGCATACATTGTAATTCCTTGAGGCATAAAGATTTTTCCAAAACCAGGACATTGATATTTACCACTGCTGTTCTTAACTAACAATTCTGTTACCTTTTTCTTCACTACTCCCTGTGCTGCTGCTACCTCAGTTCCTCTGTGTTGTCAAAACAGAGTGGCGTCGTATATTAAATGATTATTATCAAAAAACGCATGCAAGTGCAGTTGATAAAAGTGTATTTCCAATGTTATTCAAGCAATTGTACGAAAAAGCATTACGTCCGGCTCATTGTGCTGGAGGATTTGCGAAAGCTGGTATACAGCCTTTTGATAAGCGCGCAATTCCTAAAGAAAAAATTCGAAAGTCTTCTACTTCTGCAAAAACAAATCTTGTTCGTTCATTATCGATAGAGTATTCGTTACCGACATCAACAGATAATACACGCAATGATAATACTTGTAGTGACTGCAGTGCAACAAAACCGTCAGGATGGTCACAATCAGCATCAAATCTTTTGTTTACAAGCTCTGGACCTACATCATCAACGAACTCAACTAATTCCATCCTATTATCACCAAAAACTGGTTCAATACAATCAACTATTTCAATACCGCCTGTACAAATTCCTACAGTAAAATCTAATCAAGTCTCATCAAATCATTTTGTCTTGGGTCCATTAAATACTTCATCATTAATAGGCAATTCATTATCTCTTTTGAATTCATCTCAAGAAAGTCCGAGCAAATGTCCAGGAGTTCTTCAAAACGGACCGATCAGACATGAGATATTTTATCAATGTGTTCTGCGAATAGTGAGCTACTCTATCAGATAGTAGATTGTAGCTCTTTGTCTCTTGTATGATATTTTAGCACACACGGATTTCTCAATCCAAGATGCAATCAATGGTGCTATTCAACAATATCTAACACCAACAGTAACACGTAACACAGAAAAGGAAAACAATGATTGACAGAAGTTCGGGACAATGTGTTACAAGTGTTGATGTTTTATATCAATTAAAATCAAAGGAAGTATTAAAGAAAGAAGAGCTATACAACCAAATCCTTTGAAAGTTAAGACTAGGACACCATATAGTATCTATTGGCAGAAAAAATCATCGAAATCGGAGGGTATCAGCTAGGGATCTTCCGTCGTCAGTCAAAAATCTTTTTTATATCTACGAAAGTAAAATTCATAAAAATCTTTTTACACAAGTTCATCTAAAAAATGACAACAGACCTTGATGCTTGTCTTTCGAAAAATTTACATATTTTCGTCTTCAATCAAAAATATTCAGTTCTTCAGGAAATTAGCTTGATATACGATAAGTACAATAAGTATGTGTTTAATAGGAAAAAATAATTTTGTTTGTATTTTGACTCGTTCCATTTCTCTTACATGAAAACAATGATTTAAAAAAACGTTCATCTGTTGATCAATGTGAAAAATCGAATGACAGCTT